TTTTTTTTTGTGAAACAGCTTCATTATAAGTTTTTTAACATCGGAAGACAACACGGTAGAGGGGCTCAGAGCACAAGAAGGTTCAGCCAACCCGGACGATGACTTGACCTCAGGTTAGCAAAAGTAAGAGATCCGGGTCGGTAATCTGAGGAGAATAAATTGCTCACCGGATCGGGGGACTTTTCTGGCTGACGTTTCGAAGAGCTGGGGCTGCTCTCCATTGTCAAAGCGTCAAGTGAAAAAATCGATCAGCATTTTTGAATAGACTGCCGCATTAGTTGGCCCTGGGCTGATCGATTTTTTTCTTCCTTCTCTGCCTCGGCCTACTGGCCGTCGCCTGTGAATTTTGGTGGCCTCCTGTAATACGTGTCGTCACCTCAATTGGGGTTGGTTGCGTTTGCTTTCCCCTTCATCAAGCAAAGCAAGCGCCGAGTGAACAGACGACGGCCACAAGAAGAACAACCCGAAGTCTGGAGGGCTATTCCTTACATTAAAGGAGTCTCCGAAGCGGTTTCAAGACTGCTACAACCCGCCAGGGTAGGTATTGCCCATCGACCCCAGGCAACAATTCGTCGCCGTTTGATGCAACCCAAAGACATACTGCCACCCACTGAAACCTCAGCAGTTGTCTATCAAATACGTAGTAAGGATGGAGACTGCAACTACGTTGGGGAAACCGGACGGAAATTGCAGACCCGCCTACATGAGCACAAACTGGCAACACGGAGACTAGACCCAAACTCACAGCTTGCGGCTCACATCGGGGAAACTGGTCACAGTTTTGATTTTCAAGGAGCAGCCGTCATAGGCAGGGGCACCTCAAGGACTGAGCGTCTTACTCTTGAGGCTTAGTACTCAGATGCCAACTCCATCAAAAGGCATCTAGACCTTCCTTCGGCCTATAAAGTCCTACGTCACTTCATACACCGTGACGAAGACAAGACAATCACACGGAGCCCAAGAATGTCGAACAAACACGGCCTGTCGACCACTTCACCCAAAAGGGGAAAGCAAACGCAACCAACCCCAATTGGGGTGACGACACGTATTACAGGAGGCCACCAAAATTCACAGGCGACGGCCAGTAGGCCGAGGCAGAGAAGGAAGAAAAAAATCGATCAGCCCAGGGCCAACTAATGCGGCAGTCTATTCAAAAATGCTGATCGATTTTTTCACTTGACGCTTTGACAATGGAGAGCAGCCCCAGCTCTTCGAAACGTCAGCCAGAAAAGTCCCCCGATCCGGTGAGCAATTTATTCTCCTCAGATGACTTGACCGCTTGGGTCTGGTCATCCAAGAGCACAATGGAGTCGCTTAGCGAGATTGTTGGAGCATTTACCATTCTCATGTCAACTTCATCCACTTTTCCGATGTAAGGAAAATAAACGACTTGCAAGTAAAACTACTTTAGCTGTTGTTTTTTAAAAAGATGTGCGGTGCCCATACCAGGGGAAACCAATTTAGGACGCGATTTTTCTCCCCCGGAGTGTGAAATGGCTATTTGCTAAACTATGGACTAGAAAAGGTAATTACTATCTTCGAGGCCGATGTTCATTTGTTGATCCAATAGGCAACTTTGGTGAAATCATAAATCCAACCTTGCGTGCTTTGATACGGACGCCAAGTCTGCTACCGATAAGGAACATCAAGTTATGGGAAGTACTTGCATTTTCAGAATAATAAATATGTTGGGTAGCGGATATTCTTGTGCAGAGGGACTTTCACCAAAGTGGGACTCCGTCTCCGGCTTGCCCCACTGTGGCACCGATCGATGTTCCGCTCGTCGTCGATTAACAGCAGATGGACGAATTTAGGGCGAATGAGACTCGGCTGATACGGTAGGAATGCTAGCTCCAACTGCTCGCGATACCCCCTGCACACTCTAGACCCCGGAAAAAGAGTCTCCATCTAAATATCTTACCTGCCTTCCAATTTAGGACACGTCAAGTTGTCGATCACCGCACTTGATGGGACTCACGGGCAAATTCGATCTAGTTGTTATGTCACCTTAGACAACGACAGTAACCCCATGTCTATAATTACATGGGCGTGCATTAGTATCTTTCAATTCTTCCATTAAACCTCCAAACTCACTAGACCAAATAGTTTATATGAATATGAACTAAGGCGTGAACAACACGCTGATTCAGTAATCGTCTTCGCCCTGATGTTGCATGCTTCGTATAACAGCTAAAGTCGTCTACCAACGGTCTATCATTAACTTTTTGCGTGACCTTATAAGAATTATTGTTGACATACTTCATGTTATTGCGGGAATGGACCTGAGTAATGCATTCTTTCTCCAAAGATTAAACGACCTTCAGTTTTTAAATTGAAACAGTCTTGCGAACTGGAAGGTACAGTGAGTGACCGATCTCATAAAATGCTGGCCCAAATTGTGAAATGCGTCTTAGATTAGGAAGTATTACTTATGTGGTGCTGTAATATTGATTACCATGCTGAATAATCCTGTAATATTTAGGACTTGCCGGGATGTCGGCTTTTGAATGTACTCCTTTTCGACTTCCTGTGGAAATTGCGCCGGGCAAAAAATGACGACTTAGACAGCGTAAACTGTCACCCTGATTTTTGATGACTTAACAAATCCAAACAAATTTCATAAAAAAACATGCGCAAAACGTATGCTTTCGTTTACTCGTCTGGTAGAAAATCACACTTTCTTCACATTGTATACCCAAGGGAAGGATATCTTTAGGTTTTGATAAACATTTCCTTTTCTTGAATGCTTTAGAGCCTAATCATCTATTGCATTAACGTTTAGCGATTTAAGTTGACAGAGAACGTGCTTTCCGCGTAAGGAAAACGGAGAGATGCGATGCCGTATAAATGGAAATTGCACGGTCCTGAAATATCTCATAATTAGAAACGTTTTTAAAACCAAAGGGTATTCTTTCTCCGGGTATGACGTGTTAAGACAATGAAGTTATCTAACAAACGTGTAAACGAAAACGGACTTCTTATGCACTTTTTTAAGTAATATATTTGAATTTATAAGACCAACTAAAAATCCTTTTAAAATGCGCGTTACTTAAAAAGTCACTTTTTGCTGCGGCTTTGTTTAAAGTAGCAGTTGAGCCTCCGTAGTCCGCTGGTATTGATGCCATTAAGCCTGCACTCTTACTCTCCTGCCCATAGAATTGACTTTCTATGCATCGAAAACCCAGAGGACTCGCTCTCATCTCCTAAAATGGCCAAACACACCTCTATATAGATGTACCTGTTGCTTCGATGATATGTTTGTCGTCGTTTTTTGATAATCTGTCCGGTGTTACGATAAGTGGGAGAAACCGTAGACCTTTCAATGTTTCTCGGGGAACCCGCACATAACGGAAAATCGGTTCAATAGCAGTCATAATGTCAATTTTCCCCTATCTGAATCTCAGATGTATCCAACTAGTAAATGGACGAAATCAGGTCCCGAGTGTGGTTAATTGTTTAGGGACTTTGAGGCCTATGATGGGGAAGATAAAAAGTGTAGTCTGCATCTTCGATTGGAGTCTTCTGGACATATTCAGAATGGACGTAGTCGCCCATAGTTCGCATATAATTTTGCAATGATTCTTAATATCTCAGAATGCGTTAACTGCGCTGGTGTGAACGTTGTAAAGCAAATAATACATTGCTCGGTAAGATGGAAAAATGAGCTTTTTAAGACAAGGGTTGCATATGGTGGAAATTCAGAAGACGAAGGTTTTAGCCCATAGTCTACAATACAGCGCGAATGTTTGCAAGTGTAACTTTATGTTCGGCTATTCGGTCCCCGGTGGACAATTTTTTTCCATTTTTCCAAATCGTGGGTAGGACTGACTTTTTGGCAAAAGTTGTCCATAAATGCACATTTGGTTTGCGGATCTTTAGCCGAATGTAAAATCAGCCCGAGTATTGTCCGTTGGTCTTATTTGCAACCAGCAAGACGACGAAGATGACAGGGCAGACATGCTAACGACCTGTATACCGAACAGGAGCACAAGCACATCTACCAGCAGGAAACCAGTTGTCAGAAAACTGCCAACGCACACAAGATTGCGAGAGCCATGGTTTGCTGATGACGGCACGGCAGATGCTTACATACCTTGAGACTTACAAAAGTGACACACAGCCTTGCATTTAGCCTAGAACATCACGCTTTAAAAGTTGAGTATCCAGTAAATCGTCCACTGAGAGGCATTACCTAGAGAGCACATACACACTTTTTACATTCGGGAGAGTGTCGTCGATCACTTAACATGGAGCCGTGACAGCCTGACTCTCAGCCCACCAGTCAGCCACTACGCACAAAGGCACGCAAGTGGGTAGACTGCGAAGATTGATTTGGACGTCAGTAGGCAGCCGTTTAAGCCACACCGTTCGACGCATCGGGATAGTCTAGGACTCTAATCACACGTGCAGCAGAGGAGCAGCATGTAGAGGGGGCCGAGAAGCACACTTCCTACCTCGTGGGAAATGGCAATTGGCCTTTTGCGGTGGATGATGTTGTTGTATGGTGCGGGTTTTGGTGGGAGATGTGATGGTGTGGTATAGTCGGCGGTTGTCCATCGGCTTTCGGGAATGCAAATGTGACCTAGTAGGCACATGCAGTATGTGAATGTGCGAGGGCCGTTGAGGTGAGTCCGCATGGTGAATTTCGGCGCTCCAGACAAGGGTTCACCGATGTCTGTGTGTTGGATTTGCAAGTGACTGATTGGGACGATGTGTGAGGTGAAGGTGTGTTCTCAATGAGGACATTTGTGGACTAAGTCTACATAACGTGTGTTGACGGTGGTGAAGATGCTGTTTGTCGGTGTTTCTGGATTGTGTGCAGCGTTGGTGGTTATATGAGCCGCCACGGCGGATATTTAGGCAGCGAAGAATGGCCATGAAAGATCAGGAGCGCAGTTCGTGTCTTAGGTCCCCTCCTGCCACCTCAGCTTTAGTATCCATTGAGGTTGAAGTGGTTGAGCCTTCGCGCCCGCTATTTGTGCACCGCCCGTGTCTCTGCTTTATTCGACTGTGTTGGCAGGAGGACTGGCTTGTACACCTTTGATTTCGCCAAAGTGAAGGTCTTGACGATTCGAGACAGTGCATTGAGGACGGTCGAATTCTTGAGTGGCCTTGGAAATCCGGCGAGCAATTTCATTTTTGATTTTGGTGTTGCGAGAAGGGGTGCTGCCCAGATAAGTGAGGTTGTCCATGGCTTGCGGGTTGGCGTCCTTCAGGCTGATTGTAGGTGCATTGTAGTCTACGATGGATGAGGGTGGGTGTATAACCACCGTTTTCTCCGTGTTGATAACCAGGCCGAAATTGTCGCGGGGGGCGACGAACAGGTTCATGCTCCTTTCATGTCCTCTGCTGAGGTGGCGTTTAGCGCGCAGTCGTCGACGAAGAGCAGTTCATGGACGGAAATAGTGGATGCACGCAACTGAAAATGCATCGGCCACTGATTGAGGAGTTTGTGGTCCGTCCTGTAGACGACGCGGATTCTCTGATGTCCATTATCATTGTAGAGAGACTAGGAGCGAGGACGCGGCCCTGCTTCACTCCATTGGTCACTGCGAATGCCTCTGGGACGGCTCCATTGCCTGTGACACGCGTTGTCATGCGATCATGGTGCTGACGCAATATCGAATTAAATCGCCCTGGACAGCCGAATCTCTGCATGCTTTTCCAAATTCCTTCGCAATTCACCGTGTCAAAGACCTTCGTCCGAGTGTAGAGTAGACGTGAATCCGCATCTCCGGACACTTCTTCCCTAGCTGACGAGCGGCGAAGATGATATCGGTGGTGCTGCGATGACGGCGGTACCATCGCTTCTTAACGGAGACGTTTTCGTTGTCCGCAGCGACAGCGGCGGCGGGGACTGGAAGGTTGGCTGGTCTTTGAGTTACTTTATTCCTGAAATGGACATGGTGAGCAGGCAGAGACAACAAAGCAATATTCAGCTTACCTGGGAGTCGTTTACCTTGGGGTCTCCTAAGTGGCTGTAGGCGCCTCCTCATCCTTAAGATGATGACACGATGTTCAGATCATCCGTCGGTACCCGAGATCATCTTTATCATCAGTACGTCCTGCTGGTCTCGCCTCCGTATTCGGACAATGTCCATCAGGGGCCAGTATCACGACCGAAGGTGCAGCCAGGTGGCCTTCTCTCGCATTTGAAGACGGAAGAGGGCGTTGGTCAGGATGAGGCGACATCCTGCAGAGATTTGCAGGAGAAGCAGGTCATTGCCCTGTTTACTGCATTGGCGCATTTATTCTCCGTCTGTATCTGACGACGACCCGGGGATCTGGCGTCAAAAATGCGCACAATAAACGTCCTTTTTGCCAAAAGCACACATTCGACTTTGGCATAGTTAAAAAGCTAACCGTTTTGTACATAACATAAAAGAGTCTGACGGCGAGCTGAGGAACCAGTCTCAAAAATTTACGCGTTAAAGGTTATTTTCTTCCCAAAGAATTTTACATAATATCAAGTAATTTCGTGGGATGCACGTTTTCCAGTACATATATGTAGATATATTTGAAAAAAAGCCATCTCAAGAATCATAATTCGAAAGGAAAAAGCTCTTCGGGTAAGACAAACAAGTTTTATCGTACATTTTCGACCTTGGTCCCCCAAGTCGTCTTCAGACGCGAAGTAAATGTGCAAACCAGTTAACATTTAAACATGCCGAAAAAATCAATTTTGCCCTGTCACTCCTGCTGGTGTAACGTTCTGATTGGCTAACGCCTTTTCCACTTTTCCTTGAGGCTGTTGTACACCGTATCTAATTCTGCGTGTCGATTGATGCATGCGTTATCAGAATGGATGGCGTCTCAAAATTCACGGCCCTTTTAGGTGAGCAGACACCTACAATGCGAGTTCTGTCCCAGGCGAATTTGTGTCCAGTTTCCAGCTAATGCATGGCAACTTGGGACAAGTGGTCTCGACTTTTTACAGCCAACTGATGTTCGTGTATTCGTGTAGAGGCCGATTTCCCCGTTTGATCACAGTAAACCGCACTACAGGTGTTGCATGGTATCTTATATACGACTTCCTTCTTATCTAAATAGCCAACCCTATCCTTAGGGTGAACAAGCTGGTTACAAAGTGTAGTCTTCGGTTTGTGCGCCACATGTATTCGGTGCATCCTCAGGTGTCTCTTAACTAGTTCGGACACATTCTTAATGTACAAAAGTGTTCGCCAGTTTTTCGGTTTGGCCGCTTGACCGGAACAATCTAATTCCTTCTCTTTCTACTTTGACTCCTGTCGTCTCATGCATCGGTGTACAAGATATCTAGGATACCTATTCTGGGAAAACAGTCTGAACAAATAAATCAGTTCTGTTTTTATATGTTTCGTTGTCAAAGCAGTTAGTTCTGACTCGGTTAAGGAGGCTGTTCACGGCACTCCGTTTGTGAGAGATCGGGTGATTGCTCTCGTAATGCAAAAGAACTTCCGCGTAGGTTTCCTTGCAGTAAACCAAAGTGTGAAATGTCCCGTCAGGCTTTCTCTGTACGAGGACATCAAGAAACGGGAGTTTGTTGTCAGCCCCTTTCTCGAGTGAAAATGTGATTCCTGGAAGTGTTGAGTTAATAATATTGTGGAGTATTTCCAGTTGATTACTTTGAACAATGACGAACGTGTCATCAACCTTACGTACCCATAATTTGAGGTTAACTAGTGGTAAGGCAATAGCCTCTTATTTCTGCATTGTGACTTCTGCGAAAAAACCAGAGATGGGTGATCCCATAGGGGTTCCCTTCAGCTGCTGAAAGTATTCCTGTGCAAATGAAAAGTCCGTTTCTAGACAAAGGTCTATGAGTTCTAACAAAGCAGATGCAGGGATATCCATGTCGTTGTACAGACGACGTTCCTCTGTGCATTGTCTTGCTAAATTCAATGGCATGGAGGTGAACAGAGAGACGACATCGAAGAATACTAATATTTCATTTTCTGCGATTCTCAGCCCTTGTAATTTTTCCAGAAACTCTGTTGAATTATTGATTGATATTTCGCAGTCTTTTTTCAACGGATAGAGCTTGTGGACTAGCCATTTAGAAAACTTGTATTTAGGTGCACCGATTAACGATACTATCGGTCGCAGTGGTACTTCAGGTTTGTGAACCTTAGGTAGTCTATAGATCTTAGCAATAACTGGTTCAGTTTGTCGTAACGATTTGACATTATTTCCTGATATTTGCTTCATTCTTCTAAGACGTTTTAGAACTTTTTCATTGGCCGTATTCTGCGCTTTGGTGGGGTCCGTGGTAAGAGGTTCAGAGGTTGATCTGACTTTCAATAATGATAACTTCGTTTCGTTGTATTCTGCTTTGTTTAAAAAAGCACTTAATCCTCCTTTGTCCGCAGGACGTATGACAATGCTTTTGTCACTTTTTAATGTTTTTAATGGTTTCCTTTCCTCGCGTGATAGTACTGAGAAGGGATTTCGGCTCTTTAAGGCATGTACAGTGCTATTCCGGATAGTGAAACGTTCATCGTCCGTAAGATTTTCTGCTAATTTTATAGACTCCAAGTTTGCAAGGAAGTCTAGGTATTTCGCATCGGACAGATTATATTTTATTCTCTTTAAAGTACACTTTCTTTGGTTGTCGTAAGTCTTCTGGCTGACAAGTTCACTACCTTCGTGAAGCGAGTTTGGCTTGTGGGAATTCGTTGAGAGATGGCCATCCGTTTATGGTCTTAGACGCTTCTCTTGTTCTGTCTTTCGATGTTGGAAACACAGGCAATTGTTTTGTTTAGAGATTGAATTACATGTGAAGGGAGATTATCTCGACAGAATTCCGCATGCTGTTCTTTAGAAGCTTGGAATTTCTAAAGTCTGAAGTGAGCACTGGATATAAAAGCTCCAAGCATGTTTTGGCCGTAACGTAATACAATTTGATGTCCTTGAATAGTTCTAATGGCAGGTTTTATTTGGACAGATTTTGGTAAAATCTTCTTGTTTGGGTATTTGTATAAAAACGATAATTGTTCTCACGTGAGACTTTCGCGAATCGCACACTTTACCCACTGTCTAGCTTCTAGCAAAACCTCGCGATCAAAATTCATACGTATGAATTCGAAAACAGACATCTCGAGAATCATAACTCGAAAGAAATAAGGTCTTTGGGTAAGAAAAACAAGTTTTGTTGTAAATTTTCGACCTTGGTTCCGCAAGTCGTCTTCAGACGTGAAGTAAGTGTACAAACCAGTTAACATTTATACTGACCCAACTGTGAAAAACTGGGCGCCTCGGTGGGATTCGAACCCACGCAGTAAGGGAAAGGCCAATCAGATCATTACCCCTGCAGCAGTAACAGGACGAAAAGCGTTTTTCGGCAGGTCTAAACGTTAACTATTTTACACGCTTCACGTCAGGGGATGACTTGGTGAACCGAAGTCAAAAAGTTACAATCACATTTTTTATCTTTCCCAATGCACTTAATTCTTCCGAAGTATATTTATGTTTACGTCAAGCAATTCTCTGTGGGGTTATACGAAGTACGCTCATGCAAGTTTGTAGCGACCAAGCGGTGAAAGTGTATGCTCAGTGCGCCACAACTTCAGGCCAGATCCCAAGTTGTAAGAAGTGGGACATCAGTTGGAGAAAAAATGGCTTATTTGTTCTGTACAGAATAGTAAGTGGAAGTTGGCAACCGGACGATTATGCGTCCGCGAGAGCGACGAGCCGTGTGTCGTTGAAGGTTGCCGCTACAAAAGTGTCGTGACAGATTGTTTACGCATTGGTCTGGGCTGCGTCCGCCTTGTGTAACCAATCAGCTAGGGGAGTTACGTTGATTGTCTCAAACCCAGGCGAGTGTAAGGGCAATTCTCGCTTGGAGCAGGCAGAGAAGCGTTCAGATTCGTGGTGCAGACAGTTAATTGCATCGAGATAAATCGAAGCGGGGCAGGCGTGCGTGCGTGCCAAAGCAGGCTGTCGCTGGGCCTAGGTGCAGGCGCTAGGGAGAGATGCGATGTCATTATGGCTGCCCATAAGTTTATTACTGAGTTTTGCAATACTAAAAGCCAAACGCTTTGGAAACAGACTTTCATAGGGTGAATTCACCCCTTTTTTCTCGAGAACATTGTGATTTCTCATACCCACTCTCGCTTTATTTTCATGAGGGCAAAATCAAATTTTCGGTTCCCGGAAGGGATTTATTTTCTACTTTTGCGGGTTAAATGAATTCTTATTTACGAGACGGTGCACAAAAACATGAAGTTTTTAACCGTGAATTTTAGTAGCGTAGGAAATTACCTGCATATCAAGAGAGGTCAGATTTTGTCCAAATCTGGTCTGTTTTCCTTTAGAAAGGCCGAATTGAAATGAATGTATTGTTTGTAGTATT